CCCAATTGAGGCTCCCTCAAGCCAGGTGTGTCAAGTTGACACTAAAGCTATTTAGCACACCAGGCTTGTATGACAAGAGTCTTCACTCACTGAGCTATCTCACTGGCCCTAATTTGCTTTTTGAAAAATACAGGTTATATGAATATATAGTTATATTTAAATGGAAACAATACAGAAAATATGAAAGATAGTAGAAAAAATATTTAACATACTTATGTTTTGCTCAGTAATTATGTATAAAGGTAAGTATATATAATTATAATTGGCATTCATCAGTCTATTTTTATTACGAACTTTTAAAGTATTTCTTTGTAGATCACCTTTTTAAATATTTAAATTTAAAAAACAAAAAAGACTTCATTTTCAGTTCTTGCCAGGTGTGGCACATGCCTTGATCCCAGCCTAGGGAAAGCTAAGGCTGGAGGATAGTATGTTTGAAGCCAGCCATTGCTATTTAGTAAGTTTGAGGCCAGCCTAAGCTACCAACCTGATCCCCATTTCAGAAGACCTTAAAAAAAATTTTATTTTTTGTATGACTTTATATACTAAATTACCTGATTTATCTAATTAGGTTTTAAAAAATGGCTGCCAATATTTCCTAATAGGAATGTGTTCTAAGGAGTAAGGCTATTGAGGGAAGGATATTGTACAGTTTCGTATGTGTGTGTTTGTGCATGTGGTATGTTGTACATGTATGTGTACGGAGGCCAGAGGAGGACATAGAGTAGTATTGCTCTCCACTTACTCCTTGAGTCTCTCCCAGAATAGAGCGCTCCATTTTTTTCCTAGGCTGGCAGCCAGCAAGCCCAGAGATTTACTATTCCAAGTCTACATGCCCAACCTTGGGAGTGTGGGAAGCCATTTCTGGCTTTCTCTGTGAGTGCCAAGAATCTGAACTTGGGTTTTCATAACAGGCACTTTTAATGACTGAATCATCTGTTCAGCCCATTGTATATTTTAGCAGATATTGCTAGATTGAATTCTAAAATTATTATAAAATTTGTATTTCATCCAGCAGTATGTTGTTAGAAGAACAAAAAAAGTGTAATTTCATACATTATAACCAGTTGTAGCTGTTAATCATTCCTTTTAATTTTTCCCATGTGCAGGATCAAGTGATAAATTATCTTAATTTGAGAATGTAGAGAAAATGTTTATTGGCCAACTAAAATTGTTTTCTTGTGATTTACTTATATCTGCTCATGGACCTTTATCAAAGTGATTTACTTTTCATATTTGTTTTTTTGTTTGTTTTTTTGGGGGGGGCCTTTTTGAGAGAGGGTCTCCCTGTAGCCCCAGCTGGTCTTTTTGAAACGGGGTCTCTGAGGCTGGCCTTGAACTCATAGAGATCTGCATGCCTCTGCCTCCCAAGTGCTGGGATTAAAGGCGCGCATCACCACATCCAGGTTTTTCTTCATATTTGTACATATTCTTTTTATATTATAGGAAGTTGATATACACATTATAGGTATTTTTTTCCCTTAGACTGCTTTGCCACATTAAAACTTGGCTCTACTTTTGTGTGGTTGAAGTAAACATTAGTTCTCAGTGTCTTTAAATCTTGCAAAGCTCTCTATGATTTTACTCTGTTAGTCTGTCTAAAATGTTCTTTTGTAAGTGAAATGGAGTGAATTTTCATACTATCTGTATCTAGCCCTTTGTGTAAAGTAGAAATACCATAATTTTCCTATTGGATTAAGCTTTTATTATGTTTAAATGGTGGTGGCGCACGCCTGTAATCCCAGCACTTGGAGGCAGAGACAGGTGGATTTCTGTGAGTTCAAGGCCAATCTGATCTACATAGTGAGCTCCAGGCCAGCTGGGGCTACAAAGAGACCCTGTTTCAAAGAGACCTCCCTGCCAAAAAAGTTGATCATACATTGGAAATTTTTTCAGTCGCATTTAAAAAAGATACTGTGACTTTCCCAAGTTTTAGTATCTGCTGAGCTATGCCATCTTGTACTGTTCTCTTTCAGAACTTCTTAGTTCTTCCTTGGTACTTATTCTTCCACAAAAATATTAAGACATTTTACTGGAGAGATGTCTCAGTGGTTAAGAACACTGCTTGTTCTTGCAGAAGACCCAATTTGAATCCCAGTACCCATATGGCAGCTAACAACTGTCTGTAACTCTAGTCCCAGGGGATCCTACAGCCTCTTCTGACCTCCGCGGGCATTGCACAACACGGGTTCACTTACCTACATGCAGGCAATGCACACATACACATAAAATTTAAAAAGAATTTTTTAAAAATTAAGATATTTTTATGCAGATTATTTTATGCTCATTTTTTAGGATATTAAATACTGTCATTGAAGGATATGTGCCGCCTGAGTTCTTGTAGGGTCCCTTGCTCCTGGCACTGTTAGACAAACCATATAATACACCTGTATCTGAATTCTTCGTAGTTTATATTAAAGGTAGGGGAAATAGAGTAACTTACAAAGGTGAATACCCGTTCTGCTCTGTGGCTCAGCGGCCCACCATTGCAGATTGACTCCATGCCCGGCCCACAGTCTCCCTTAGCTTTCATCCATGCCTCCTGAGCCTGTGGTCTCACCCCAGGTCAGCAAACGTCCCCTCGTGTGTCCACACGGGTGAAACAGGCTATTTTTTTCTACACTGCGCCCTTCCAAGATGGCTCCAGTGCTCCTCCCTCCGGGGCTAATTCTCCACAGCTAATTCTCCGGAGCCAATTCTCCACAGCAAGCCCCACCCCTTGGAGGACTAAGTGACCCTAGGGACACAATACGGTATTTTATGTTCACTTTTCTTCATATGAATCCTGCATATCTTGATAAATTCTTGATAAATGTATTCCTTGATTTTTTTTTTTTGCTGTTATATTCTCTTTCCCACTAAAAAATAATTTTGAGTGTTTATATTATTTCATCTCTGCTTTCTGGATCCTAAAAGTTGAATGGTGACTTTTTTAAACATAATTTTCAGGTAAATATTGGGTAATTCTTTGTTGCTTGTTTGTGATTTTACTCAATTATGATGAGATCTTATAAAATATACTGTTTAATTTTATTTATGTATGGCTGTGTGCATGATTGATTTTCATGTCTGTTACACATAAAACAAAATTCTCGAATGCAAATTTGGTGTTCATCTACTCATTTGAATTTTGTGGGTTTTTTGTTTCCTTGCTTTTTGAGACAGGGTCTCTCTATAGCCCCAGCTGGCCTGGAACTCATTATGTAGACCAGGCTGGCCTCAAAGTCATCTTCCTGCCTCTGCCTCCAGAGTTCTGAGACTAAAGGAGTCTGCCCCCATGCCCCGGCTATTTGATTGAATTTGTATCACTCAGTTTCCTCTTACTGGATGTACCTCCTAGCACCCACAGGAAGGCTAACAACTGTCTAACTCCACTTCCAGGGGATCTGATACCCCCTTCTGACCTCTGTGGGCATTGCATAGTCAGATGCACTTACATACATATAGGCGATACATATAAAAATAATAAAATATTTTTTAAAAATAGAAATCAGTCTGTTCACATTTCCTATAATAAGTGAAGTACCATATTTCAGTATTCTTAATTTTCTTTATCCCCTTTCTTGTTTTTCTTGGTTTGATAGTGTTTACTTCATCCCCTTTTCTTCTTAATTTGGAAATTCTAATACAACTCTCCATTTTGTAGTGACTGTGTGGCTGTTTTGTACCTTTGTGTCTTGTATTCCTTCAAGCCTCATGAGCTGACACCATAAACCTCAGTGTGTGCTGGGGCCTTTGGGAAGTAATTAGATCTAGTCATGAGGCAGGCAGTCTTTCTCCCACTGTCTTTCCCTCCTCCCTCCCTCTCTTCCATGTGAAGACACAGGGAGTTAATTTTTTGGTGACTCCCTCATTGGAAGTAGTGATATTTGTGCATATACGTGACTGAATTGAGAAAATGGTTCACGCACAGTTGGGGTGTAGTTTCCTGTTAGTCACCAGAAACAGAAAGGTCCCAGAATGCTGCTTGCACCATGAATTGCCTTGTTATAAAGATATCTAAAGCAGCAGTTCTCAGACATTTTATTTTAAATGTAAGGAACTCAATAGCATTCATTCACATTGGTCATACCTATGGGTAGCTACTGTTTTGGAAGTTAAAAACAGTACTTTTAAAATCTTTTTAGTTCATTTGAAAGTAGTGCCAAATCTATTCATATTAACACAAGTGACATTTTTGTGGAAAATCCCTATTTCTAAGATACAGCCGTGAAAAAGTGCTTTGTTTTACAAGTTTGCCATTCTTGTCCATATATTTCTTAACTAAAAATTTCTTCATTGTCTTGCTTGCTTCTGCTTTCTGTCTTGTGCTGTCACATTGCCAGCCATGGGGTCTCTAGTAACATCAGTTTCTGTGTGTGAGAGAATGAATGCAAAAGACAACGTTTCAGTTGTATTTGTACCTTGGCTTCCTTCTGTGTTTGGGAAGGCCACTCCCACCACCAGGAAGTTGAGACTATTCCTCGACAACTGCTGGCTGTAGTTTCAGATCATCTTCCTACCCTATCCTCTCCTATCCCTCTGATCTTAGAGGTAACCATGATACTGCTGCTTACAAGCACATGTACCAAATATGTGTGTCCATAACAATGCTCCAGTTAATGTGCTTTTGAGATGTACATACATTGTGCCACTTGGATTTCTTTATTTGTGTTTTAATATCTAAAGTGACCTTTGCAAAACTTTCTTTTTTGTTTTGTTATTTTTGAAGCAGGGTGTCATATAGCCTGAACTGGCCTTAAACTCACTATGTAGCCTAGGCTGCCCTTGATTGAACTCCTGATCCTTCTATCTCTCATTCTCAAGTACTGGGTGGGATTACAGGCATGTGTATCCATGCCTGGCTGATGCAAAAGTTTTGATTTCTTAAAATTCACCCTTCGAATATTCTGTGGTTTATCTTGCCATTCATCTACAATTAGATGTTTGTTTCTAACTTACTGCTATTGAAGTTGGTGCTACTGTGGATGTTTTTCAGTGTGTCTCTTTGTATATGTAGAATATATACTTAGAATAATAATTCTGAATCATAAAGCTGTATGCATATTCAGCCTGTTTTGTCTAATCACTTTCCAAAGTAATTGAACCAATTTGTGTGCTGCCCAATATTCTATGGTGCCCATTTCCCCATAGTCTAGCCTTTGATATTATGAGACCTTTTGATAAGTCTGATACATGTAAAACACTATCTTGCTGAGAGTGTAGACCAGCCAAGTGTCTAGCATGTGCAAAGTTCTAGGCTCAGCTCCAAAATACTTAAAATCTTTAATTGATTTCCTTTGTAATAACTCTCCTTAGCACCTAGCCTAGCCTAGCCTGTGTATTGTTTTTCTTACTGTTTGCCATTTAGATGTAACTTACTACTTAATGAGCCTGTACTTGTAGATTTTTGGCTTACTGTGATTTATTTGTAACCTCGAAATCAGTACCTGCACTATAGATGGATGCTGAACAGGGGATACCATTTTAGACCCCATACTATAACCCCAGCTTCGCAAACTGGGTTGTGACCCCCCTATGGGATTCTGTAACTGATTGACTGAATATGGTGTTCACAAAGCATCTGACAGCAGTAAAAAGCTATATGCTAATCAATACCAGATGTGTTGTAACCAAAGACCTGCAGGAAACCTGCATTTCTTCTGGGGGAGCAGAGGAAATGAATTGTCTTTAATTCATTGCCCATGAGAATTAAAAAAAAAAATTTTTTTTTTACATTTAGTTATTGTAAGAGGAGGAATTGTATGCCCCATGCCACAGAACACAAGTGGAGGTCAGAGGACAACTTGCAGGAGTTGGTCGTGTCCTGTCATCACCCCCCCCCTTTTTTTTTGGCCTGAACTACCTATGTAGACCAGGCTGGCCTTGAATTCAGAGAGATCCATCTGCCTCTGCCTCTGCTGGGAATAAAGGTGTGGGCCACCATGCCTGGCTGAGTTGGTTCTCTTTTTCCACTATATAGGTTCCAAGGATCAAATTCAGGTTATTAGACTTGGTGGCAAAGTGTCTTTACCCTCTGAACCATCTTGCCTGCCCAATTTTATAGGTGTAGTTACCATACATAATGAGAATCAGCTGTATCTATATGAGAGTTCCTTGTGTGGTCACCTATAGCTATTCTGCTGTTATATAATATCACATTGATACAGACAAGGATTGCTGATACTGAGTTGGAGGTGTAGCTCAGTGGTAGAGGTTTGATTTTGTTTGTTTGTTTGCTTGCTTTTGTTTTTGAGATAGGGTCTCCCTATGTAGTCCTAGATGGTTTGGAACTCACTGTCTACAGGCTGGCATCAAACTCAGAGTTCTACTTGCCTATGCCTCCTTACAAGCCTGCACCATCATGCCTGGCAGTGATAGGGCTCTTGCCTCACATGCTCTGGGCTTTATCCTAGCACTGTAAAAAATAAAATGTCTGGTAGTATTCTAAATTTCTTTTTCCTTGAGATTTTCATCTTGATAATTTCACATTCTTTCTAAGATTTCAGGAGTTTTACCAGAAAGACCCAGAGACTCTCACAGCATTTTTTACTGGGCCTGTGCCTTCTTCGAGGTGATCTTCTTTCTCCTGTCATTTTCTGGTGCATGACTATGGTTCTGTGTATCTTTGAGGCTTTTAAGACTGCTCATTTTTTGGCAAACTTCTGTAAGGTACCAGAAGAAGGACTCTTCTGCTTTTCCTTCATTACCTTAGGTCGTGACAATTCTGATCTCTATATGAATTTAAAACAAAGCCCTTCCTGTCTATTCAACCTCTCTAGCTACTCCAGGACTAGGCATCAGGTCAGTCCCTCAGCTGCTGAGGAAGTGCCAATCAAGATCTGAGGCTGTTAGGTAAGAAGCACAGCCAGGCCAGCACTTGTAAGGGTGGCATATGGGGTCTCCAAGGAGCACGTGATGATGTTTGAGAGTCAGTGGTTGGAAATTGGGGTATTATCTTGAAAGAATTAGGATTATCTATAATTTTCTTTGTAAGGAAAATTAGTCAGCACATTTTATGAGGTTTTTAATTGCAGGAAAATAACATGATAGAGTAACATGAACTCATGGGACTTTGGATGTTCAAAACACAGCAATACTGAAATACTTAAAATAATGCTATCATTCCTCAGTCTAGTAATGTATTTGGTTGTGGTTTTGTTTCCCTTCCCCATCTTTGTCAATGGTGTCTATAGTAATCACTACTTCTTTTGGTTAAGCTATGTAGTATGGTGGTAGTGATATTAATATTATCTTACAGGTGCTGCCTATATAATAATCACCAGGCTAAGGACTGTATCGACTCCTTTGTTACTCACTGTGTTCGGGTAAGAACTAGAACTTGGACTGTTGTGATAGCTACTTTGCATAATTCTTTCATGTTGTTAATTTGTGCTTTCTCCATATATTTCTTATTCACATTAAGTGAATAATTTTTCTATTAATACCTGAGTGGGTAGCTTTATGATCTTCCTGGCAGGTTGTCAGATACAAAGTCAGACGTGAATAACCTTTCCCTACTGCCTATAGGGGCACAGAAATGAAATATCATGACCTCTAGCTGAGAAAACACTTGTTTTTCTAGTGTTCTTTGTAAACACACATAAGAACTTTGCTCTGTTTTGACCTTACAAAGAATATGCATAACATTCCTATATGCTTGTCTTAGTATTGCCTTAATGGAAAAGATAATACATAAATTAAAATTGTTAGTTTAAATCTGATCACAAACCTTTTTAAGTCTCAGAGAACTAGAAAAAAAATGCAAACTTTGTAGTAGATTAAATTAGAAGCCATTTTTTTTAAATATATAAACATTTCTGCCAGAGAGGTCAATGAGCCAGTTCTTTGGGGGCTAATTCTATTTCTTAAATGTGTGTGTGCGTGCGCGTGTGTGAAGGGAGAGTAAGAAGAAGACTAGATTTTATTTCTGTAACATTTTATCATTAGGTACATTGGTTTATTTTTCTAAAAATTTTCTACTCTTTTAAAGAGAAATGCTACTAGACTGACTATCCTTTATCTGAAATATGAAATACCCAGGACTAGAAATGTTTCGGGTTTGGGATTTTTTTCTTTCTTATTTTTTTTTCTAAATACTTTATTATTTTTATTTTATGTGTATGCGTGTATTGCCTGCATGTATGGAAGTGCACCCGTGTCGTGCATTGCCCATGGAGGTCAGAAGAGGCTGTTGGAGCCCCTGAGTTGTTAGCTGTCGTGTGTGGGTCCTGGGATCTGAACCCTGGTCTTCTGCAAGAACATTCAGTATTCTTAATCTCTGAGCCATCCCTCCAGTCCTCGTTTTGGATTTTTTTTCACATTTTGAAATATATACATAGATTTTTGTGTATTAAGCATCCCTAATCCAAAAATTCAAAATCTAAAAAGGCCCAAAGTCTGGAACTTTTTGAGCATTATCTTGGTCCTCAATTTTTTTGGAAAACTGGACTTGGTTATACGTGCCTATAATCTCAAACCATTCAGGAGATGTAAGCGGGAGGATCACAGGTTCAAGGTCCGTCATCCTCAGCTACCTAGTGAGTTCAGGGCCTAGTGAGTTTGGGCTACATGAGACTCAGTCACAAAAAACAATTTTGGATTTTGAGTTTTCAGATAAGAGATGCTCAACCTGTACCTCTTCTAGGAGAGCTTTTATCAGTAGAGAGACTATCAAAGTTTATAAATGTACACAGTATTATAGATAAAAGAAGTTACTCATACATCTAAATCCAGGCATCTTGCTGATGTGTCTGTTGTCTGATTAGTGGAATGCTATAGGATTTTACATGAAGTGGTGTTACAGGAAGGGTAGAAATAAAAGAACTTTAGTCAAAGTTTATAGGTAATTGACATCACTCAAGCTGTATAATTGGAAATGTCATCTTTGTAATACTGGCTTTTGGTTTAAAATAAACAGAAGTTGTCTCTGAAATTGCAGGAAGATGTCTAAAAATTGAACAGATATGTTTTTGCCATATGAAAGCATACTTCATAAGCAGCCACTTCTTTCTACTTATTGATAAGTTTTCTGCTGATTTTCTTAAACTAGCACCTATATAAGAAACATACATAGGCTTGATTCTCAGAATACACAACATTGTGTGTGTGTATGTGTGGTGTGTGTGTGTGTGTGTGTGCGCACGCGCATTCACACACATGGTCAAGCCAGATTTGAGAACTTGGCTATTACTTTGGGTCAGGAAATTTCATGTGGCAGTTAAGAAATTGTTTGTGTGTTCCAGCCGTTTTGTAGTCTTATTCAGATCCACGGGCATAACAGGGCTCGACAGAGAGATAAACTTGGGCATATTCTCGAGGAATTTGCTACCCTGCAGGATGAGGTAAGAGCCAAATATCTCTTCCTAAAATGAAGCATTTCACTGATTACAAGCACAGTGGTGCATACCTGTAATCACTGCATTTGGGAGTGAGAGACAGAAAGATAATGAGTTCGAGGCCATCTTGGGAAAAAAAAATCACATACTTTAATTTTTGAAAAACAATTCCTCAAAGCAGTATTTTGAGAATTAATGTTGCATTATAATGTCTACTTTTCACTTAAAATTCATCAATCAACACTAGTGGAAGTTTACACAAGAAGAAATAGAACAATAATCTAGTGTATAAACTTCCTAAATTACTTTTTTGATAATGAGGATAAATTATGAAATGAGTTGAGAACTGTTGTTTCATGGCAAGTTTACATTATAAAGTATACTAATTTTAAGGTTAGTTTATGAATAGTACCAGTATTAATTACTAATATGACTAGAGACCTAAAGACAGTAACTTGAGGTTGGTTTGTTTTTTCTTTTCTTTTTGAGACAGGGTCTCACTATGGAGCCCCTGCTAGTGTAGAACTCATTCAACCCAACCATCCCAGCCAGGTTGGCCCTACCTCTGTCAGTGTGTGCTACCAACCCAGCTTTTGTTTTGCGAAATGGCCTTACTATTTTGCCCAGGTTTCTTTTTAGTCCCTGTGCTCACATGATCTTCCCACCTCAGTATCTGGAACAAGCTGGTGGTATTATAGGTTTTATAAGTCTGAACCACCATGCCTGGCTAGAGTTAAATTTGCATTTTTGTCATTAAAATGAATGCTTTTTTAAATTTAGGGAATATTTACTTAAATATTATTACTGGAAAGTAAGAACTTTGCATGTAAACCCAACCAAAAGTACATTTGAAAATAATAATTCTTTGGATGGTGAGATTTAAATTTTCATCTCATATTTTAAAAGTCCTCTCATTAACTAAACAAATGGACAATTTTGTTTCGATAGGCGGAGAAGGTTGATGCAGCGCTTCACACTATGTTGCTGAAACAGGAGCCCCAGAGGCAACATTTGGCCTGCTTAGGAACCTGGGTCCTGTACCACAACCTTCGAATTATGATTCAGTATCTGCTTAGTGGCTTTGAATTGGAGCTGTACAGCATGCATGAGTACTACTACATATACTGGTAGGAGAACCATTGACCTAAAAATGTTGGGTGGAGTGGTAAGCTCTGAGAGTGCACCTGTAAAACACAGTATAGTTTGGGGTACTATTTATTATTTGTGTATGTATGTGAGTGTGCATATTCCATGGAGCATAAGTTACGATCAAAGGACAGCTTTCAGGGTCGGTTCTCTTTCCACCTTATTGGGACAGGGACTCGCTTTCAGTGTAGTCTAGGCCAGCTGGCCCACAGGCTTCCAGCCATTCTCCTGTTGCTAGCTCCCATCTCACTGTAGGGATAACACAAGAAAAATTAACATAGTTTGCGCTGACTTCAGTGATTTGAGAATAATTTCTCTGGCATGCCTCTCCACATTTATATAAATAGTACCAAATAACCTTACTGATATTCCAGTTTGCTATGTACAAAAACTGTCATGGCATACATATCAGTTCTGAACTGTTTCTTTTGACTTCAGAATTATGTGTTAAACTCTTAAAGTTTTTGCAATATGTTTTTTCTTGTGTTTGTTTATGGATGTAATCCCTAAAACTTGTATACCTTTCTAAAATCAGCAGCACAAACAGTGATTCCTGTTTGTTAACAGGCACCTGATCACTTCCTGGGCTTAGTCCCCTAGGTTTCGTAGACCTACAGTGGGACCCAGTCACTTCCATTTCTAGACCCTTCCTAGACAATAATGCTACTGGCCCAGAGGTGGCAATCTGGGCACCAGTGATTCAGAATGTCAGCATTTGCTTCTCCGTAAATATAATTCTGTGGTAATTTTGATAAAGCACTTAATAAAAACAAAGAAATACCTGGTATTTGAGAAGAAAGGCCTGCATCTTGTCAGCCCTTTCTTCACTGTAATTGTCCTCAACAATTCATAGATAAAAGCCAACTGTTATTTCACCACAGAAATCCTTTATTGCATTTAGAGGTTTTTTTATATGGTAAGGGGAAATTCACTTGTAGTCTGAAAAATGATACTATATAATCAGTGCTTTTCTTAATTTCAGTACCAGCATCTTTCTCTCCATTGATGCTTTCTTTTATCTGATAAGAATGTCTTAGTTTTGCCTCAGCTGTAGGAAATGGCTCTAGCTTCAAAATGTAATGCCTAAATCATTCCAAATACATCTTTTGACTAGTTATTCTTTGGCTTAAAATGTTCTGTTTGGGGCTAGCAAGATGGCTTAGCAGGTAAAAGTGATATCCTCACAGTCCTGACAACCTGAGTTCGACACATAGACTCTACATAAAGCTGGAAGCGAAGTGACTTCACACAGTTGTCCTCTGCCTCCTACTTTTGCTCTGTGGCACGTGTGTCCACATATACACATCTTTCAAATATAGTAATAATAAATAACTTTAAATGTTCTGTTTTATATATGCTTTAATATTGTAACTTACTTGACATATTTCTGGGAAATTTTGGGAATAGACATCATTAGTGATCATAAAATATCTTACAAATCTTTGATTTTCATTTAATATAGTATTAATCCTTAATTTTCTTTATTACTGATGATACTATAAATGCCACACAGAGATGTGTATATATGTATACATGTATGTAATATATATGTGTATGTGGTGTGTGTGTGTGTGTGTGTGTGTGTGTGTGTGTGTGTGTGTGTGTGTGTGTGTGTGTATCTCCTAGATTTGAACTGCTTTTCTGGCTTAGGAGAATGCAATGTTTGTTTAAACTTTTGAAAATTCCCTATAGTATCCTGTTTTTCCATTTATTTATTATTCAATAAATAAATTCAAGTAAATTATAAGCCTGAATGTTTTAAATTTTTATAAATTATATAAATTTTATAAATTTGTATAAAGCAAATAATTTTTGACATTTTCTGAATCAATTTGTTTCATTTGCCTTGTAAAGAAAATATTTAATAGACAGGTGAATTGTATTCTGGTAGTGAAAAACAATTTAAGGGAATTTAATTTGCAAGTGTATAGATCATTACCCAGAAATCTTTTGAAAATTTGTAAAATGTAGAAAGAGAAAGATCACTTTTGATACTCATTTCTTTTAAGGTCTACCTTTACCAAACCAGAACGTCTGTTTTGTAAAAACATCAAAGCATTACAAAACCTTTCCACTTGTAGCTAGAGGCCTATTAGAGCATGTGCATATTAGCATACATGGGGCCCTGAATTTAGTCCCTAGCATTAAAAAAAATAAAATAAATCTATTCATTATTACTAATATTCATGTTGGTAACGCTGTCTCATTTAGATATTTGCCATTAACTAACATTTTGTCACCTTTAAGGTATCTCTCTGAATTCCTTTATGCATGGCTGATGTCAACACTGAGTCGCGCTGATGGCTCTCAGATGGCAGAGGAAAGGATAATGGAAGAGCAGCAAAAAGGCCGTAGCAGTAAAAAAACAAAGAAAAAAAAGAAAGGTGCTGTGGACTTTTATTTATTTACTTATTTTTATTTAGAGCCTGAAACTCACAGTTCTCCTGTGTGAGGCTGCCAGGTTTTGGGAGTTTGGGTGGGCACCATCACACCTGGCTTTGTGGACTATTTTTATAAAATGGAGTACACAGAACCTTTGACAGACAAGTAGATGGAGAGCTCCTTATGAGTTGTAATGGGTGAATTAGTCTCATTTACCATTGCTGCACAGAAGAGAAGGCAGAGACTGAATTCCACTATTAGTGATAGAACTTCTTGAGTTCCTTTTCTTGCTTCTGTTTCTTCCAATTCCGTGTTCCAGAGGATCTTGGTCAAGAAGTAGCCATATGAGGCTGAGAGGCAGTGGTGATGGGAGAGATGGTTCAGCAGTTAAGAGCACTGGCTGCTCTTGCAGAGAACCAAGGTCCAATTCCCAGCACCCACATGGTGGCTAACAGTGGTCCATAATTCCAGTTCGAGGGGATCTGATAGCCTCTGCTGACCAGGATGATTACATGATACGGTTGTGCTTACATAATGTAGGCAATACATTCAAACAGAGAAAATGAAATAAAAAAACAGAAGTAGCCACATGGAATAGGCTAGAGAACAGGCAGCAGGAGTCCGGGAACCTTTTGTCAAAATCCTGTGACTTGGGAGGAAGGTCATCTGCAGTTGTTCTGTCACAGTGGTGTGTGAAAAGGGGATCAATGTGCTCCTTGAGGCCTGGTGAAGAGCTACCAGGAAAGATATGCTTCCAGAGAGACTGCTGTTACTTCCTGCTAAAACTTTATAGTATTATCTATTTGGGGAATACAACTATTGTTTAACCTTTCAGTTCAATTCAGTTGTATTATTTGTAGGTTTCTGTCATAAGGTAAAATTAATGCTATAGAAGCAAAGTGAAGTCTGCATTTAGTAAAGAGCCCAGACGTTTTTGTTTGTTCGTTCCTTAGGACAGTCTCACTATGTAACTGTGGTTGGCTTGGAAATCACTATGTAGACCAGGCTGACCTTGAAATCAGAGATTTCCTGCCTCTGAGTGCGGCAATTAAAGGTGCACACCACTAGGCACAGCCTGAGAGTTTTTTAGAAATTTGTTTTTCTAATTACAGTTCGCCCATTGAATCGAGAGATCACAATGAGCCAAGCGTATCAGAATATGTGTGCTGGAATGTTCAAAGTAAGTAGTTGAAAATAGTGTTCTGTTTGCTGTTTGACTATATCATTATTGTCTAGTTTATTTAAAAGAAACAAGTTTTCCTTGATCCTTACAAATCTAATTTGACCTCTGTTTTATTTACCACTTGTTTACTTACTCAAGTCTAGTTGTTTTCAACAAGTAGTTGAACCCTTGCTGCTGTACTGAGTGCATTAGCTCTTATTTGACACGTTTTTTACTTATTGTTATACAGCCACTTGACACATATGATACAGGGGGGAACAGAAGGAAATGGGCTCCACAATGAAAGTAGTTGAACCCTTGCTGCTGTACTGAGTGCATTAGCTCTTATTTGACACATATGATACAGGGGGGAACAGAAGGAAATGGGCTCCACAATGCCTAGTGTAAGCAAAAGCAGTCATTTTCAGGAGGGTAGTGACTTGGCAATTCAGGAAAGATTTGAGGCAACTTACATGATGGGACTTCCAAATGGGACATTTGAAAAGACCTTTCCTGTGTAATTATATGATATTTGTTCCTTCAGAAGCTTTTACCTGAAGGTCTCTAAGTAATTACGAAAATATGAGACGTGAAAATATAATGTCTATGTATGTAATTTCACTGGGAAAAATAGTAATATTGAACACTGAAACTCAATTTTATGTGTAGGATATGGAACATAAAAATGAATGCAAGAAGCCCACATATAGTATTTAAGTAGCTGCTTTTTGTTGTTTTTATTCTGTACTAATGAAGATGCTCACTTTCAAATGGCTGCTGCTTTTTTTTCATCCTTTTTTCGTTCAGACCATGGTTGCATTTGACATGGATGGCAAAGTATGCAAGCCCAAGTTTGAGCTTGATAGTGAACAAGTACGGTATGAGCACAGGTTTGCTCCATTCAACAGTGTGATGACCCCACCACCAGTGCACTCCCTGCAGTTCAAGGTGAGCTTCCAGTCTGGTCTCATGCCATACTAGAGAGATCAGTTTGTACCAAGCCATCTTGCTGGGTCAGTGGGCTGAGGGATATCAATAGCAGTCTTAAATAGTGTAGCAATTACTTGGTTTGGTTAGACATATGAATCATATTACTCATTATTAAATAAGTTCTGAGGATAATATAGGTGGTATGTGAGGGTTGAGAATTGAATATTTACATCAGAATCTTTATTTGAATGGATAATCAATGAAGAATTTTGTCATAATTTAAAAGGGCTTATATTAAACGTGATTTTGATAGTCTTCAATTTTGTTTTGCTTTTAGGAAATGTCTGACCTCAATAAATACAGCCCTCCTCCTCAGTCTCCAGAACTGTATGTGGCAGCTAGTAAGCACTTTCAGCAAGCAAAAATGATACTGGAAAATATCCCCAACCCAGACCCTGAGGTAAGAGTGGGTCTAACTGTCATTCTAGAGGATAGGCTTGGCAGAAAGCACGTCCTGTTACAGATGGGAATTAATTTAAGTCCATCAACTGATAGTAATAGAGCCCGTCTTGTTTTTGCCAAGAGTTTCAGATAGCCTTGCCAACTTAACCATTTTAAGTCCCTCACTACTGCCCTCGGATTTCAAAACTCTTTTGCCCAGGTTGGCCTTCAGCCTTCCTGTAATGCTAGAATTATGGGCATGAGCTATCATAATCGGGTTCCACTTTAACTCTTAAATACAAAAAATGATCTGCCCAATTACGGTAGAACACCTCCCTCACTACTGCCCTCGGATTTCAAAACTCTTTTGCCCAGGTTGGCCTTCGGCCTTCCTGTAATGCTAGAATTAATGGGCATGAGCTATCAATACTCGGGTTCCACTTTAACTCTTAAATACAAAAAATGATCTGCCCAATTATGGTAGAACACTATTTCATATTTGACCATTTAAAGGCTGCTGCTTTAGAAAACTGAAAATAATTATGATTTAGACTTGATATTTAAGGAATTTGTTTTATCTGATTTTATTGAGATATCCTTATTCTAATAAATAAGAATTACCTCTGATTCACGTACACCATTTAGGGGATTACATGATACCAGCTTCATTGGAGAGGTATTTTAGCATTATGTGTCAAAAACCACCAATGCTGCCATAAGGAAACAGAGTTGTCAGACAGCTGGTCAGTTGCTCCTGTGAACTCTCAGCAATGGTGACAACATACACAAGTCGTACACGAGTTCAAGCCAGAAAACTTCCCAACATAGACATGAGGAAGTGGGTCATACTACCTGAAAAGGTATTGACAACTGATGGCTGCTGGGAGGGAGTCCATCTCAATGGTAGAGTTAGATTTTCTAATTTTTTGTTGTTTTTATTCTATACTAATGAAGGTGCTCACTTTCAAATGGTAGGTTAACCAGGCTCCATTGAATTAATGCACACCAAAAGACTACCTGAAAAGGTATTGACAACTGATGGCTGCTGGGAGGGAGTCCATCTCATGGTAGAGTTAGATTTCCTAACTTTTTGCTGTTTTTATTCTATACTAATGAAGGTACTCACTTTCAAATGGTAGGTTAACCAGGCTCCATTGAATTAACGCACACCAAAAGGCATTTGGGGGACACAAAGTTGACTTGATAGGCGTGTGTGTGTGTGTGTGTGTGTGTGTGTATTTCTATCTATTAGAAATTGTGACTTGAATAGTTAGTAAGGGGGATACAGGTAGGAGAGGGGATCTGAATACAGTCAAAATATATTGTATGAAATTCACAAAAATTCAGGTAACAAAAGATGAAAATAGAGGACATGATGTTGAGGATGGTAGTAGGGTAGGGTGGATTTGGGGGGAAAGGTCTGAATATGATCAAAATACATTGTATGAGATCTTTGAATCAATACAAAGTTTTATTTTTATGTTTTATTAATTTTTATTTTATGTGTATGAATGTTTTGAAGTATGCCCGTGTCATGCAAAACCCGAGTAGGCCAGATCCCTAGGGTGTTGGATCCCCTGGAACTGGAGTTAAGGGTAGTTGTGATCCATCATACAGGTGCTGGGAACTGAACCTGAGTCCTCCTTCAAGAGCAGCAGTGCTCTTAACCACTGAGCCATCTCTTCAGCCCATTTTTTAAATAAAAATTTTAAAGAATCGCCAGTGCTGGGGCTCATTGATAGAGTGCTTACCTATCATGATGCACGAGGCCTGGGATTCATCCCCAGCACTGTAAATAAATTTTAAAAGGCTGATCTGGGTTTGATTCTTTGAGGCAATACATTTTTCCAGAGAGTGGCCAGTCAGGCAGCAGTGGGAACTCATGTGTTGAAACTTTTCAGACAAGTAGTGGTCAGAAATAATAACTACACAAAGGACAGTCATTAGCAGCCAGGCACGTTTCTAAGCTTTAAATAGAGTCATGCATCACTTAATAAAGGGATATGTGCTGAGAAGTGCATTCTTAGGCAATATTGTTTTGTATCATGGCATACTTAAACAGGGACGGCTCTGGGTGATATCTGTGGGACCACTATTGTATGTATGACCTGCCCATTAACTGAAATGTCATGCAGCATTAATGAACTGAGAGTGAAACTCGGGAGCAGACTGACTTGCCTGAGGGACTACAGCTAGTCAGTGATGAGGGTGGGGTTTGTAAAAATGGTGTCCACGTTCTAAACACTGTACTATGCTGCCTTTTCATGATTTGTAGTCTGAAGCAAGATATAGTAGCCTTTTCAAAGTAGAGTTGAATGATGTAGAGTTGATTGTCAAGTATCATGTTTATTTTAAATAGCCTTTAATAAAACAGCAACACTTCTGTTCTGCATTGTTCCTACTCATGTCTATAAAGAACTTTTGACTTCAGTTTTATTACAGCTTAATACTGTTCATATTTTAGGTCAACAGAATTTTAAAGGTTGCCAAACCCAACTTTGTAGTTATGAAGCTATTAGCAGGAGGACACAAAAAAGAGTCAAAGGTAAGTACATTGCTCTGAAAATAATTACAAAGTTTCCTATCTATCTTTAGTAAGCTACATAATAAAGCTTGGCATTTTGCCTAGAAACATTTTGCTACTTAATATTTCTGGTCTGCTGCCTTTCCCTGTAAATTACTGAATAACTTGGGATAAGAAAGTTAGGTATGGGGCCAGAGCATCAGGAATACAGAAATAGAGACTGAAGATAATGGCTCCATGAGTAGAGGTGCTTGCTTCCAAGCCTTAAAGACCCGAGTTTGATCACCAGAACCCACATGGTAGAGAATTGACTCCTGCAAGTTGTCCTCTGACTGCCACACATGCCCCACAGCACACATGTATCCCTCCCCCATATACACTTAAAGTACATAAATGAATACAAAAAATTTTAAAGGAAAGCATGTAGAGCTGGAGAGATGGCTCAGCAGTTAAGAGCTGTTCTTAAGCAGTTAAGGGCTGCTCTTGCAGAGGACCTGGGTTCAGTTCCACATAGCGGCTAACAACTGTCTATAACTCCAGTTCCAGGGGATCTGATACCCTTTTCTGACCTCCACAGACATTGCACAACACGAGTGCACTTGCGTACATGCAGGCAATACACTCATACACATAAAATAAAAATAAATTTTTTAAAAAAGGATAATATGGGGCTGGAGAGATGACTCAGTGGTTAAGAGCACTGGCTGGTCTTACAGAGGACCCAGTTTCAAGTCACAGCACCCAGATGGCAGCTAACAACCATCCGTAACTCCAGTTCCAGGGTCCCAACACCCTCTTACCTCCATGGACATTGCACGATACAGGTACACTTACACACATATATGTAAAATATTTGAAAAAGAAAATATGTAAAAAGTAAATTTTGGGAAGAAGTATGAGGTAACTAAATGTCACCTGCTTTGGCAAAGTAAATGCTTCATTGTCTTTTTGTGTGTTCAAGTTTGCATTCACATGTTCATGGAGGCCAGAGGTCAAGGCCTGGTGTTTTCCTTAGTGGTCCTCCACTTTAGTTTTAGAAAAAGGCTCTCACTGAACCTGGCGCTCACTAATCCAGCTGAACTGGTTAGCCAGCAAGCCCCAGGGATCTGCTTGTATCTATCGCCAGTACTGAGATTACAGCCTGTGCTGCCATGCCTAGCCTTTTCATGTGGATGCTGGGGATGGATTGAACCTCAGGTCTCTGTACTTGCACAGCAAGCACTTTACCAACCGAGTCATCTCTGCAGCCCTGAGACTTTTTTTAAATTTAAAATTTATTTTTATTTATGTGTATGAGTGTTATTGCCTACACGTATGTAGGTGCATCCATGTCGTGCAGTGACCTCAGAGGATACCCTGGAACTGGAATTACAGATGTTGTCCACCATATGGGTTCTAAGATTCAAACCCAGGTCTTCTTAACCACTGAGCCATCTCTCCGGCCCCCAAGTGTTCTATTTAAAGGCCCAGTCTTAACACAGTAGCCTTCAGTGTTGGTGAAGCTCTGCCTTGCTTCAGAGACCACCCTTGGAGGCAATTTCAGTGGCATTTGCCTATTATTTGTAGCTTTACTTCTTTATTCTTTCCAATTCCTTCTCTCTTCTGCTTTATTAAAGACCCATTTCATTACTTAGTACCGTCACTTACCCCCTAAGTTGAAGGCTTTGTCATACCCTAGTCTGACTGAGCTCCTTTTCTGGAACTGAGGTCCATTTTCCTTCAGCTTTCCTCTGAAGATAGAAAACAGCTGCCTGGGATGTTTTCTTATGACTTTCGGGTTTGACATTTGCCATTCAACTAGTAACCTCTTTATGTATCGCTTAATTTCTGAAAACATAGGAAACTAAAATATTGATTCTGTTTACTATCTGAACAGGTATAGGTACATTAAGTGACTTTCTGGTTTTCTTTATAGGTTCCTCCTGAATTTGATTTCACTGTTCACAAATATTTTCCTGTTGTGAAACTTGTTTGAAAGAGACTGCAGAGATGACCGTGTCTACTCTTCAGGGGTACATCCATAAGTCTTACCACATACGTGAAGTGAAATGGATTTCTTGGAAAAAAACCCATTATAAGGAATATATTTAGTTTGACACCTTTACCTGACATGAGTGAAAACTGCTGTTTTAAAGTGGCTTGTTCTGTTCCATGGGTGAAACTGGCCTTAAGGAATGCATTGATGAACGTTATATGGTTTTATTACAGACTTCATTATAACTCATTTTTTTAGAAATGATTGAGTGACATAGTGTTTGTAAAGGTTAATAAATTTCTTGACAAAAATGCACTACTGCTAATATAACTGCTTTCTGTGATGGTACACGGTAAGAACGGAAGGTCTTTGCACGGCACCATTCTAGCAGTTCAGATGTGATTTGAGTTGGCTGTGGTGGTGTGCCCCTGTGATGCCAGTACTTCGGAAGTGGAAGCAGTATGATAAGGAGTTCAGTCTGGGCCGTGTGAGACCCCAATCCCCCAAAACCAAAACAACCCAAACAATAAACTCAAAAATGAACCAAAAACAGTTTAAAAACATGAAATTTATTAAGTACATAGATTCTGGTGAAATTTAAAGGGATTTTTGTTTGAGGGGGAGTATCTCTACATGAGGATTGTGATTTTGTGTCACAACACATTTGTAAGGATCTATAATCATTGTTTTAAGAAGAAACACAGTCCTTTAACTGTTACTTTTGACACTTAAGAGATTATACAGCATGTTTGCTGGTGACATTGAACAGGTAGGAAAGTAGAAATGTATAGATGGTTAAACTGTGGGTCTTAGGTTTAAATGTGCTGTGCTCTTTTTATTCCAGTTTAACCCATGAAATGTCTTCAAGTAAAGGTTCTGTTCCAGATCCACTGACTTCAGCCTAAGAGTGCTGAACGCAAGGCCCTAGCCTTTCTTTGCTGCTCATTCCTCTTGCTCTCTCTGCATTTGTTTGCCACATCTGCTGTCTAAGCCTGTGGACCTTCCTTTTTGTCCTCTGCAGGGAGCGGTACTTTGCTACCCTGAAGTTTAAAGTGGCTTTGTGGCTTGGCCTAAGACTAGTTCCAGTTCATTTGACTTATGGTAAAAAGGATCCTGAGAATTAGTGTCTTAACTTTGATCTGACTTGGTACTTTCTTTGGTGGTGCTGAGGATGCAACCTAGGACCTCACACATACGCTAGAGAGACACTCAGTGAACTATACCTAGTTTTGTGACACCTTTCTTGAAAATGCATTAAAACTTTTTCCTAGAATAACTTTGAAGTATGCCTGACTGAACTTGGCTGCTATATTAGAGGGCTTTCCTGACTTGTCTGATCAACTCTGAGGTGTTCTGGCTGTACTGTCAAGAGTGCTTTAACTCTTGCCTTAGCCTCGAATAACCAATAAACAGCTTGAAACTTCAGAACTCAGAAAACAGTATACATGCTAGTTCTGCTTAATTTGTTCAAAGGAAATCAGCACTGCTTGGGCAGTAATTTCCAGGTACTTGAAACCAAAACAGAGCTCTGATAGGAAGAAGGCAGTACAAAGAATAAAGTCCACTGGGATTTTGTGTCACAAGAAAAATTTGAAGGTCTGGCAGGTGAAGAGTATGATGGAAAAATGGTTGTGCAACATTGTACCACGTCTAGATAGAGTGGGGCACTGGATCTGGGTACTTTTGCAGTGAAGAACTACCTAAACTTGCCAAAGGTGTTTTAAAAGATGATTTTAAAGAGATGAAATGACTAGGGAGGAGAAAACTTAAACCACCTGTGCATTCGTTGACACTAAGGTTTGTCTTCTGTTTTGTTTGTTAACCACTAGGTGGAACAACCCCAGCAGAACACCAGAGGAGTTGTAGAGTGGTCTGTACTAATACTGCTTTCCATTTACCCAGACATGTACCAACTTTGGGATCTAGAGGTTATTATGAATCAGGTATAATACTTGCAGGTTCTGTTTAAAATTCAAACACCAGACAACCTTCAAGGAAGATGCAGTGCTTTGGTTTGATAACAAGACAGGTAGGTCACTGGGCTTCTGGAAAAATTTGAATAAGCCCCTCATAAACAGAGCAAGGAGATTATTATGTCAAGATTGCTGTTTGCAAGGAAAAAAAAGTTGTAGACTATTAGATAAGTCCACAGAATTACTCTTAAATGTGTTTATAACTTCTTTTTGAAGTGATAATAATTTACTATAGTCTAATATTTTCATTGTAGAAAAAGGCAGCCATGATTCATCATCCTTCATACCCCTCAACCACCATTCTGCTTTGACAGTAAAAGCTAAACTTTAGGTAGAAGTCTTCCAGAAGGACTGCAAGGGCTAGGTGGGGACGCAGCATGGTTATTTTTATTTATGCTGACATCCTGTTTCATTTCATGAAAGAACTGAGGCAGCCACAACCCTTAGTCACATGAAAAGCTGATTCTTTAGGGATCTAGAGAGGGATGGAGGGAAAACAGCTGAAAACAGTGGAACCTGTGGAGACAGCCTTGAAAGTTGAACTAACTCGGCAACTGTAAGCATGAGATGAATAAAGACTTTAAACTGACAAAGTAAGAGAGAATTCATGTCAACACTAAGACTGGAACAGAAAGGAAGGTCAGAAAAGGACTCCAGTAAAATCTTAACAGCATACTTCATACCCCTGTCTCTCCTGAGTGGAAAAGTATCTAAAAGAAAAGTATCACAGTTGGAGACTGTCACATGAACACAAATAGGCCCTGCTTTGGCTAGAGGCATCTCATGGCCTGCTGAGTCCAGGCACCACACTTCACCTGCTGGAGTCTCCAGAACTGAGCCCTGCTTTCCTTGCTGAAAACAAGGGGCTTAACCAAATGTTTCCTGAGTCCCATGCATCTCCAGGCCTGTGAATTTTCTCACTGTAGGTAGCATCACTGAAAGGAAGTCATCAGTGTGACTGCCAGTGAGCTGCATGTGCTAAAAACCCACTTACTAAAGTGTCAAGAACCTACTCAAGTCAGACCTAATGCCATTACCATCTCTGAACTACGATACAAGACATTTTCAAAACAAACATTGATCTTTGACTTTCAAACAGCATGTCAACTACAGCAGAAATAGCTACTGCATTTCCCTTTGCCTGTCTTGAGTGTTCCAACTCATAACATGGATACCCCCGTTAACTTTTTTACTGTAGTAACAAAGCAGTTACAGGTCCCATCCTCGCCTGTCTCTCCCTGTCTGAGCTCTGCCATGGCCATTCAGGGTTTTGTTCAGAGTCTAATCCAATCTTTGCTTTTCTTGGTGATGTGTTTAATCACTAGAGAGGATTTCACTTTGCCCACACACACAAAACAAGGTAGAATCCACAGGTGTTCAAATCCTAAGTAATTAATGATGTTTTGTACAACAAGAACAAAGAATACATTTTAAATTCGTTTTCCCCCCTGGTGTTTTGAGGCGGGGTTTCTTTGTTGCCCAGGCTGGTTTCGAACTCATTATGTAACCCAGGCTGGCTTGGCACCTACAGCAATCCTCCTGCCTCAGCCTCTTGAGTCCTTGAGTTACAAGTGTGAGCTACTACACCTGGTTAGCTTAACATTTTTCACACAAAACAGCTTTGTATTGAGGCTGGTCTAAAGCTGTGACTAGTGGTGTTTATGCTGACAGTCAGCTCTAGGCCACTGATGGTGTAAATCGAAAGTCCCTGCAGGAGAGCATGAGCCACTCACTCAAGAATGGAAACTGGCTGGTGCTGGCGCTGGCACTGACTTAGCAAGTGGAGAAGGGGAACTGGTTCTCTGCAGCTGGCTTCTCCACATAGGTAAACTCTGCTATAAGCTGCTTTGTTTTATATCCATTGTAGAATGACAAAGCCCTACTGTCCCCACACCAAAAGGAGAACCGGTTTTCTATTTTTGGTGTTGTCCTGATCAAGGAATACCTATTAGCCAATAAAGTTTCACCAACATTGACATCCTATTGTAGACACTTTAAAAGCACCCCAAACTAATATGGTTTTCTTGCTAAAGAGAGCCCCACAATAATCAGTTGATGTACATTTCACCTTGTTACATTTTTCAGTGTAGTCCATACTCGGTCACTCACGAGTCTTATGTAGTGATCTCTGTTCGGGCCTGTCAGGGAGCATTGGCTCCAGTTGAAGCACAGCATGACCCTGCTTTTCACGGTGATCAGGTAAACTTACGGTGCCTTTCTTCTCATCTTGAGCCTTAAAAACTAAAAATGAAAGGTACAGTATGCCAGTATTAAATACTTTGGTGAGAAAAACATATGCAAGTTTTATGTAAGTTCTAGAAATAGTCAGAGAACCTTATCTTCCATAGCAACACTAACTTGGACAACAAAACATATCATATATATATATATATGTGTGTGTATATAAATATATATATATATGTGTGTATATGTATATGAATGTATGTGTGTATAGCCAACAGTGGGCCACAAAACAAAGCTAAAACCAGTCAGTATCCCTAAAAACTCCGCAATTGTTTAAAACCAGCCAATATCTCTAATAACTCCATAACTGTTTAGAACGGTGTAGTCCATGGTCTCTGGTATTGTGTGACTTCCTCATAGGTGCAGCACTAACCGTGCACACATCTGAGAACTGTCTTCCTATGAGTTTGGGCCACATTAAGACTCCAAAGCTCACTTGCGGAGCTGAAGTCTGATGATGGCTTCTTTGTCTTTGACACATGATATAAAAACATCACAAAATTTAGAAACAGTATGACTCATCTTAGTAGGTTAATTACAATTAAATGCATGCCAGATTAAGTTCTATCTTACGAAGTTGAAGCAACTGTCTTTTTCTTCTAAGCAAGGTCTAAAACTAGTCCATTGTTCAAAAAAAAAAAAAATGCACCTGCACCCTGGAGTTAGGCAAATCCAGTATGCTTGAAAAAGAGCAAGAGTATATGTGACATACAGAAAGAGCTTCAGGGTAAAAACCCGAAACAGGTATGACAGAGGATGTAGAGTATTATTCTGGACCAGAAGGAGCACAATAGTTGGAAAGACACTGACTACATTTGAACAAAATCTGTGTTAGATAATAGTACTGTGTCAAGAGTTCTTCATTTGGACAACTGGACTGTGATTCCTGAAGATGCTCACATTTGGGGACCATGAAGAGAAGGTATACAGAAATTCCTTTTGCCACTTACTACATTGTAAGCTGAAAAAAGTAAATTAAATTTTTAAAATTTTAATTTCATGTGTCTGTCTGGGTATATGCACATGAGTGTACGTGCCCAAGGAGGCAGAAGAGGATGTTAAGATTTCCTGGAGCTGGAGTTACAGGCAGTTATGAGCTGCCCGATAGGGATGTTGGGAACTGAACCTTGGGTCCTTAAACATTGAGGCTACCTCTCCAGCCCTGAAAAGTTAAAACAAAAAAAAATTACATTCCCACCTCCCAGCTCAGATTTCTGGACCCAGCGACATGTAGGTCTCTCCTTTCCTTCTTAATATCCCTTTTCTAAACATGCTTTCTCTAGTGCTTTGGGCTGCCCCTAGCTTCTTGTATTTCTTTACTTTTTCTCTAAAGCTTCCTTCTCCTCACCGTGTGACTGAACTCCATGCAGGCTCTAAACCTGCATGGCTTCATGGATTTCTTTCCTTCTCCCTTCTGTTCTATTCCTCAAGGCAACTAGTGAGATGACCAGCTTGCTTGCCCTGAGGACTTTCCTTAAAATTCTAATAAAATTGTCCTTAAAACAAAAACAAGATAGGCTGGGTGTGGTGATGCACACATTTAGTCCCAGCAGGCAGGTAGATCTTTGTGAATTCAAGGCCAAGCTGGTTTACATAATGTGTTCCAAGCCAGCTATGGTTGTATACTGAGACTCTCCCGCTCATGGGATAAGAAGAGGCGGCATCTATGAGACCGAAGTGAGGTGAAGGTAACAACCTCTCAAGGTGGCAGTAAAGCAGCAGAGCTGGCTTACATTGAAGCCTGAAGATACTAGACTCTTTCCTCAGTTTCCAAAGGTGGGCTAAGATGAAAACTGAGGTTTGGGCCAGTGAGATGACTTAGCAGGTAAAGGCACTTGCCACCAAGCCCGACAACCTTGAGTCTGATCCCCAGGACTCACATGGTAGGAGAGAACTCCCAAAAGTTGTCCTTTAACTCCACACGTGCACCATGGCCTACACCCACCCCTCCCAAATAAATGTACTTAAAAAAATAAAACAACCTGAGGGTCTATCCTAGATGGGCAATTAAAGAAACCTGGACACAAAGCCTCTCTTTGATTTATAGGTTACGGTATATAAACTTGCAGTGCATTTGAGACAAAGTACTTAGCATGCAGTGTGTAAGCATAGGGCACAGCAACTTTTATCATCTGAATCCAAAGTACCACATTGAAAAGAATTAAAGACTGCTTAAAGAAGCTAGGCATTTTGTAGCACTCATATTTCGACTGAAGACTCATGGAATCTATTAGTCCTCCTCGCAGACTTCTCATGGATAAGGTCCAAGGAAACTAGTAGCTAGAGTTGAACAGAAAGTAAGGGAACAAGAAATCATAAGAACTTGTAGAATCCAAAGGACTCATCATATTTTAGAGACACTTGTACAACCATGTTTGTTGCTGCTTTTTTCATAGTAGCTAAGAGATGGGAGCAATCTAAGTGTCCCTCAACTGACAAGTGGTTAACAAAAATGTGGTACATTTACACAATGGAGTTCTATTCCTCAGAAAAAAAAGATGAAATAATAAAATTTGCAGGTAAATAGATGGATCTAGGAACTGTATACTAAGTGAAGTAACAGACTCAGAAAAACAAAAGACGTATGTTCTCTCTCATTTGTGGATCCTAGCACCAAATCCTTTTAAATTCCATGTTCTTTTAATAAGATGATGCTGTACAGAAGTCTCTTCTGCATGAAATAACTACCATCATCATGACTTCGGCTGTGCCTGCTTGCTAATTGGGCTTGCTGACAATTGTGCTCCTTCATTAAAGGAGAGGCAAGCAGGGTCATTAGGCCCTCACCGGAGTATCCAGCCACTCTTCCCAGCCAACTGTATGTATTTTGGCCCTAATCACACATGGCCTCCTGGATTTGGGGAGGGCTAAAGTATATAATCTGGAGAAGGCTAGGAAGAGAAGGCTTGATCCTTGCTGGGTAAAGGCTTTCCAGTGTGCATACCCACAGGTCACTAATACACCTCAGCAACCCCTCAGTCATCTCTGTAATTAAGTTCAGTAAATTCATTGGTTTTCCAGGAGAACTTTAATTAAACATTGGTTTGACACCAGAACCTTAAAAGGGGATAAGCATTGCTTAGTATCCCGAGGAAAAGAATTCTCACAACAGATGGAAAATTTGTTATTATGTCTCATAAATATTAAAAAAGAAAATGAGACTAAAAGATGTTAAAAGAATATGGGAATGGAGATATTTTCCAAAATAGAAAAAATGAGAAAGCCTAAGCAAGTGATGAAGGTCTGTGTAGGTTTGTTATGATACATAAAGGATGAGACAAAAATAATATACACATAATCTTAAAATTTCTAAGGTCATAGTTTAGTTAACTACTTTAAGGAACAAAACACATGTCTAGTCAAGGTTTATCTGAGAACATTTGTTTTTTTTTTTTCCCCAAGCTTTATCTACATAGCACATGGTAATTAAAAGTACCAAACTGGTAGAACTAAACTTCTTGGATGATTAACAGCCATACTGTGAGGCCTATACTAATCTGTTCAGAGGGACTTAAAGGACAGTTTTTGCCCCTTGCCCTCCAAGGTCGACTAAGTTCCAGGGGACTATGGAACATCTCTCAAAATATCCTGTAACTGTGGTGAGTCACCTGTCTTCTTGTTCAGGGAGGACATGGAGACCCCACTAGATGGACTTGAACCAGTGTCCACTGTCTACAAAGAGGAGGGTCAACTCAGAGGAAACATCTCATTCATGCTTCCAAGTGAAGCCAGACATGGTCGAGCAGGACCTTTAACTTATCTTCACATAGATGGAACTGGTAAAAGAAAGGAGCCAGGGGCTCCTCCCAAGCCCATGTGACCCCTGAGGAACAGATCCTGAAATGACCTTAAGTGTAACAATAATTGATTTATTTGGGACAACTGTATGGTCTTAAACACCCAAAAGCAAAGTATAACCAAACATTAAAGTGATTAGTATATTTTTTAAGCGTTCCTTGGATTATACTTCCCAGACATTAAGCTTAAGTCCAAATAAAATGTTATTTAGACAATTATCTCTCATTGATGATTTTGTTTCTAAGCAGAAAGTGCCGCTCAGATGTAAGACTTTAGGTCTTGGTCTGCAATACTGTAGTGCCCACCTGTAGCTAAGGGAGACAACTCACTGTTTTTCTAAAATGATGGCTGAATTTGTTTTCTCCCCCTATTAGAAGCCTTTGAGAAGGAACTGACCCTGATTCTAACCACTCCAACAGCTATCAAAGTGCCTGAAAACAAATCCTGAGTCCATCACTCTCCAGTCAAGCCTTGGCAGACAAAAGAAAAATGAGGAGGAACCCAATAGAGGGATGCTTTTGGAAGCTCTTGTCAAGAAATTCCAATGGACTCTCATTTGAAATTTGCCCTGTTCTGACTTTTTTCTGGTTCCCTGTCTAGAACTTGTAATGCTAGCTACTCTTGCCTTTACTTCTCCTTCACATCTCCTATTCACCGGCCAAGGAGTTTCTTTTCACCCTACAGATAAGAGTTATGTAATCTGGGAGTCTTTTAGATAGACCCACTGAAGGGGTACCCCAATTGCCTTATCCTGCGTCCCTGTTCAGCATGAAAAAGCCAAACCGGTCTGCGTCCTGATTCCCTATCTGCAAGCTGGGCAACCTCTTCAGAGGATGGTGTGATAAGAATAGGAGGTAGGATTAGCTAAGCAGTTAGGGTTAAAAAACTCCAAAGAAAAGTAGCCAGTTTCTTGGCTAAAACTCAAAATGTCTTTGGGCCTCTTAGCAACATTCTCTGTTCCAAAGGCCTAAAATGTCAAAAGTATTTGGAAGACTTTTATCTAATCCCTAAAGGATTTTAGGGTTGCCTCTTCAGAGAGGGGAGTGTTAGAGTAGCAAAAAGCCCCAAAGAAAGAGAGGGAGAGGGAGGGAGGGAGGGAGGGGCAGAGAGAGAGAGAGAGAGAGAGGAGAGAGAGAAAGAAAAGAAAAGAAAAGAAAAGAAAAGAAAAGAAAAGAAAAGAAAAGAAAAGAAAAGAAAGAAAAAGAAAGTTTGAACACATGAACATGAAGTTATCAGAAAAAAGTGGTGGGGAGATATGGGAGGAGTTGGAGGGGACGGAGTGGGTGTGGATTTGATCAAAATACCTTATACGCATGTATGGAATTCTCAATAAGTTTTAAGCTAAAAAAAAAAGCCTATAGAAAAGCTAAATTTAAGGGTTAGAAATCTGAAAAGAAAAAATTGTAAACTGGAGAAATATTAAGGAAATACTCTGTATACAACCTAGAAAAGCCAAAATGAAACATAGGTTTTGAAAAGTCACAGAGTGAGATCTGTACTGCTAATCTGAGTTCAAGGAACCAGAAGGAAAGGAGTGTTATCAAAGACACGTTGCCTGAGCTTTTCTAGAGGGTTAGCCTCACTAGACAGCTTAAAATGGCTTCAGAGGCAGTCAACAAACTCCGCAGAGATCAAAACCAGGTGTGGTGTTACTAAGGCATGGGGCAGCCATCTTGTTGGGGATCCCTAGATCATTGAAAGCAAACCCACCAACCATTTCCTGGGAAAGCTCCGCCCTCACCTTGCTCCACTACCCTGCTTGCCAGGGGTTTTAAAGAGAACCATCTCCCTGAACTGATAACTACCTACAGTGTTGTGAAGATTAATTAGGTAAAGAAAAGAGAAGGCAAAAAAAAAAAAAGTGACTCCCTCCACCACCACTATTCTTACCATTTATATTTTTGTCATTCCCTGCGAGGATTGCCTGCTTCTCTTTTTCAGATTCTGCTTCATTTTCATCTACATATTCATCCTCAATCAGTTTCTCCTGGTTTCTCCCTGTAAAACCAGCACACAAAACATAAGCTACATTTTACTTGGTGTCATCAGCACACCAGCACCAGTATTGGGTGTTACCCTAGGTCACCAACCTTTACTGAACTTCTCAGGATTCATGGGCTTAGCACCAGTACGAACACCATGTAGATGTGCTCTTAGAAACATGCTGCTTCAATACTGAGTCTATATAAAACATGGCCCTGGTAACAGGCTATAGCTCAGTGTAGAATATTTGTGTAACATACATGAGAGGTTTCATCTCTAACACAGAAAAATCCCTAAGTAAGAGGCCACAGCCCAGGCTAAAAAAGAGAAACTAAATGAAAATTCCTTTCTTGGACAATCAATGAGATTAAGGAAAAGTACTGTTTGATGAAATAACAACTGGAAATGGAAATAACGACTAGAATGTCTTGGCATGGCCCACTGCTCCAAGACAGGGCATGAAGTTGCTACTGTGAAGCAAAGGATAAGACTCCTTTCTAGGTAAAGAATTTGATTGTGTAGTATCCCATTAAGCCCTAGAAATTAGAGTAACCCAAAAAGATCAGCAAAGAATGCCATCAAGAGACCACAGAGTTTGACTTAGACATTTAAAGTGTGCATGCACATAGGCAAATGAGACAAATTTTTTTAACATGCCTTGAAAAATCTGGTTTTTGCTACACTGTGCAAGGTAGGAACAACATAGGTCTGCACACTCAATAGGTTTGTTCATATGAGGTCATGACAGATGTGTCTGAAAGCAGGTACATCATACAGGCCTTGCATTATCTCAAGTTCTCTGCTATTACACTTCATGTTCAGTGGTTAGACATGCAAGCCCCCCAGAGTGTGGGTGTCTTCCTTTCTACCATGCGCATCTTTTTTTCAGGTATGGAGCAGGACCCTGAGCAGTGATGCTCAGCAGGAGACTTCTAAAATGCACCTCTAGCTGGAATTTAGAGGACACATTCTTCCAGAGGAAAGACTGAAGTAAAAATCAGATTCCAATTATTTGGTCCATCAAATACCAGAGATGTCATATCTTCATGAGTGCTCCTGGCTCCAAAGGATGGAAAATTTCCAAATCTTTTTAAAAAATATTTTAATTATCATTTTTATTTTATGCATACGCGTGTATTGCCTGCACGTATGTGAGTGCACCTGTGTCGTGCAAAGCTGCGGAGGTCAGAAGAGGGCTTCGGATTCCCTGGAACTGGAGCTAAGGACGGTTGTTAGCTGCCAGGTGGGTGCTGGGAATCAAACCTGGTTCCTCTGCAAGAGCAGTCAGTGCCCTTAACCACTGAGCCATCTATCCAGCCCCAAGTTTCCACATCTTTAAGAACAAAACACATCCAAGGTATTCTGATTCTGTTGAGCTGAGACCCACCCCACCACTTTTTTTTTTTTTTTTTTTTGTCTTTTTGACACAGGGTCTCCCTGTAGCCACAGGTGGCCTGGAATTCTCTATGTAGACCAAGCTGGCCTCAATCTTACAGCAATCTACCTGCCTCTGGCTGGGATTAAAGTGCTGGGAATAAAGGCAGGTGCATCACGCACAGCTACCATTTTCTTTTTAAAAGGTGGGATTCGTGTGTCACTTTTCCTCAGTGCTCATGATGTCCATCTACCTAATCATTCCTTCATTCAACCATTCATTTACCAGGCACTATCAGTACTGTTCCAGACAACAAATGGAGAAGTAGAGATACAAAGACAGACAGCCTATTTGCCAGGAAGCAACATTTAGTATGCCAAGCACCTGCCTCAAGGTGTCATACACCTTCAAAGTTCCACTCACTCAATATTTCTGGAAATTAAAGTGTCATGGTTTGCATTACCCTTCTTATTTCCCCTTGACAACAATACACACAAGAGAAGTAGCAATCATGAAGTGCATGTGGTGAAATTCAAGGATGTGTCCAGTGTTTGGAAGACTGAGAAGGCCAAGTGACTGGAAGAAAGCACAGGAGCCCACAGAGCCCACACACCGTCCTCAGCAGCATTCTGTTTCTCCTGTAGGCCTCGGATGACAAGCTGGTCCTGTTCAGCATCCTCATGATCCTGATTTTCAGGATCAGCCAACAGGGCAGCTGGCACCTGTGTGGTCTGACCAAGTTGTCCAGCTCTCCCAAAGCTGCTTCTGTCCACAGGTGTGTTGTCTACAATGGCCTGTTCTTTGCCTGGTGCCTGCGGTGGCCTAAGACCATTTCTCTGGGGATTTTCCTCACTGACAAACTGGATCTCGTTCATTCCCTCTGTGTAGAGAACATAGTTAGTTGTGACTACAGAGCATTTTACTTAAAACAATAAACCCAAAATGTCACGAGGTGGAGGTACACATCTGTAATTCCCAACACTAAAGGGGGAGGTAGGAAGATCAGGAATTCAGAAGCTCATGTTTGAGGCCAGACTGGGCTACATGAGACCTTGTCTCAAAACAACAACAACAACAACAACAACAACAAAAACAAATGTGACACCCAATTCCTAGTGTTCCCATCCCAAACAGTAGTGATAAAAGAGCTACTACATATGGGGAGCAGTTAGAAACTTGTCTTTTCGTCTAGGCCACAGGCTTAGGCTGTAGTTCATCTTCAAACTGAATAAGACAAAAGCAGTTAGAAAAGTAGTGTGGACTCAAGTATCCCCACAGCTTGCACACAAGGAGGGCAGGGTGCCAAGCTGGCTCATGGTCATTTGTGGCAAGCTTTGGGATTCCAGGCATGCCAGCTGTCCCTGTCCCTGGGTGTCACAATCGTACTGGTACCCCGAATAAAACCATAGCATGTAGTTGTCCATATACAGATGCCAAAGAACAAGGCACCTAGGTTACAAGGATAAGATGTCAAGGGGCTGGAAAGATGACTCAGCAGTTAAGAGCACTAGCGCCTCTTGCAGAGGACCCAGGTTCGATTCCCAGCACCAAAATGGCAGCTAACAACTGCTCATAACTCCAGTTCCAGGGGATCCAACCCCCTCTTCTGACCTCTGCATGCATTGTACAAGGGTGCACTCACATACATGTAGGTAATACATTCATACACATACAATAAAAAAAAAAAAAAAAAGCCGGCGGGGGGGGGCACCCCTTTAATCCCAGCACTCAGGAGGCAGAGGCAGGAGGATCTCTGTGAGTTCAAGGCCAGCCTGGTCTACATAGTGAGTTCCAGGACAGCTGGGGCTACAGGGAGACCCTGTCTCAAAAAAGACAAAAAACAAACAAAAAAAACCCCAATAAGATGTCAATAAGACTAAGGAAGAGCCCCATGGCCTGTATTCCACGGCTGTGAGAGATAGCGTCACCTGCCAGCCCCGCTGCCTAATTCTCCACTGCCACAAGCCACACTCTCTTCTCGGAGTATCTGCATGGGCCTGACAACATGTGCTACTGTTTGAAGTGTGGAGGGTGCTAAAGCAAGGTCGGGCTACACTTACCATTCTGTCCTGGTGGCTTCACACTCCAAACCACCTCAGAACCTGGGGCTTGTGTCTGAGACTTATTGCTGGGCACATGTCCTTTCCCTTGTGGCATCTGTGTCTGCGGCAGGTCTTTCTGCAGCCCAGGCTGAGGCTTGCTAAGGGTCTGGAGCTGAAACAGGAGCACAGGATTGCCAGAGTAGGCTACGGGACTAAAACCCCTATGAGGCCCTCACACAATGTAATGGACCATCATACCCCCAACAAATAAGAATCCCCAAACTCAGAAACTCCATCATCTACTCTTATGCCCCGTCACATGGCCTGTATCAGCAGACTTGAGGTTAAGTCCACGTCTTCCAAAACTCATTCAATACAGTAAAAATCAATAAGAAAAGAAAGTAGCCACCACAATAAACCAGCTCACATAACCAAACATCTACAGCACTCAACCCAGCACTAGAACATAGCGTATTACTCTTCAAGGCATGTGGACCTTATATGGTTGACATATACAGATCACATTTCTTTAATCATATGGAATGAAAATATAAATCAGTAACAAAATGACACTTGAGAAAGTCATAAGTACATGAAAATTAACACACTCCTAAATAACCAAATAAGAAATCACAAATAAAAACATACTGAGACATGAAAACAGTAACACCTGAAATCCAACACAATGAATATCCTTCAATAAAAATCATAACATGGGGGGTATAAGAGGGGTGCAGATAGGGGAAGGCATGTAAATATAATCAAAATATAATTTCTGAAAATTTCAAAATTTCAGTAAAAATTTTCAAAAAAGAAGTCACGACACACACACACACACACACACACACACACACACACACACGTACTACAAAGGAATACTCTGAACCACTTAAATTTGATAACTTAGATGAAATGGACAAATTCCTAGAAAGACAAACAAATCAAAACTAACTCAAATATAAACAAAAATCCAAATAACCTCTAACAAGTAAAAAGGCTGAATTAGTAATTTAAAACTTCCCACTAAGAAAAGCCTGGACAGACAGCTTTACTAGTGAATTCCACCACACAGCTATAGAATTCTAAATCCTTACAAAGCCTTTCAAAAATCCAAATAAGTTTATCCTGTAGGATCAGTATTACTCTGACTCCAAAACCAGACAGACATTGTAAGAGTACACTGCAGGAGTAAATACCTATGTGTAGCAAATCCTTAACAAAATATTAGCAAATCAATTCTAGCAGCAGAGACATTAAACATCATGACTAATTTTTAACAAGGTTAAATTAACATACAAAATCCTAAGTTAATGTAATATGCCACATCAACAGCACTCAGGAGAGAATAGACAGGATTATTCCAGTAAATATGGAAAAAGATGGATAAAAGCCAATACCTCTTTGTTTCTGGATTAAAAAAAAACCCACTGACACTTAGAAGGAAACATCTTCAAATTGATAAAGGACAGCTACAAAACAAAGAAAACCTAGAGTTAACACCAAACTCAGTGAAAAACTCTTAAGTTTTACACAATGCCCAGGAACAGAACAAGGCTAGCTGTTCCTAACACTTCTGATTACCATCACATTAGAAATTCTAGCCAGGGAACCTGGGCAAGGAATGAAATAAAAGCCCTGTAGATTAGAAAGGAGAAAGAAAAATGATGTCTGTTTTTAGACAATGTAATCTTATATACAGAAAATCCCGATGAATAATAAATTACAGCATATAACAACAGTAATACATGCAAGGTTGCAAGATACACAATAATATATAGTATATTGAGCTGGAAATACAGCTCAGTGGTAGAGCACTTGCCTTGAGCACACAAGGCCCTGGGTTTGATTCCTAGCACTGTACAAAAACAAACAATAAATTGCATTTCTATACACTAGCAAAGAACAAGGTAAAAATTAAAAGAACTCTAAAACGGCATTAAAATACTTAGAAATGAATTGAACAAAGTACAAGATAAAACTATAAATCATTGCTGAAAGAGATTTTAATGTAAAATATTATTTTTCTGCTTTATTTTTATTTTATGTGTATGCATGTGTTGCATGCATGTATGCAAGTACACCCAGGTCACGCAATCCCGAGAAGGACAGAAGAGGGAACTGCAGCTAAGGACGGTTGTTAGCCGCCACGTGGGTCCTGGGATTCGAACCTGGGTCTTCTGCAAGAACAGCCAGTGCTCTTAACTGCTGAGCCATCTCTCTCCAGCCCCTTAAAATGTAATTAAAATGGTACTATTACCCAAACTGGTCTACACAATCAATGTAACCCCTACCAAATCCAACCTGGATGATCACAAGTTTGAGGCCACCCTGGGCAACTCAGTGAGACTTAGTCTCAGAGTAAAATAAAAAATGGGTATGTGGCAGGGAATGGAGAGATGGTTCAGTGAGCATGAGCACTTGCTATGTACTCATAAGGACCTGAGTTCAGATCCCAGCACCCACATCAAAAGCCAGGTGTGGCCAGGGGCAGTGGCAAACGTCTTTAATCCCAGCACTTGGGAGGCAGAGGCAGGCAGATCTCTGTGAGTTCAAGGCCAGCCTGGTCTACATAGTGAGTTCAGGCCAGCTGGGGCTACAGAGAGACCCTGTCTCAAAAAGACCAAAAAAAAAAAAAAAAGCCAGGTATGGCTGCACTTGCACCTGTAACCCCAGTGCTGTGGAGAGGCAGAGACAGGATTGATGTGGCTTGTTGGCTGTCAGTCTATCTTTTGGTTCAATGAGAGACCTTGTCTCAAGGTAATAAGACAGTGTGACAGGGCAGGGAACACAACTTTCTCCTGTGGCCTACACTGGTAAGCACAGGTATGCACACCTGATTACACATGTGCATATGCACCACATATACCACCTCCCCACACACATGCACACACACACACAAATAATCATTTTGACTGATACACAAAAGGACTTCAACAAAGGCCAGCATCCTTTCATAATAAAACCCCAAACAAACTAGGTATAGAAGGAACACCACTCAACATGATAAAGGCTGCATATGACAAACATTATAGCAAATGGGGGAAATGAGACCATTTCCTCTAAGATCTGGAGTGAGACAAGGCTGCCCACTCTCCACTCTTAGTATGGAGCTTTAAATTTTAGCTAGAGCAGTAAGAGAAAGAAAATGGATGCAAATAGGAAAGGAAGAAGGCAAATCATTCCAATTTCCAGATGACACGTCTTATACTTAATAGACCCTAGAGACTCCATCAGAAAATTCTTAGACCAAATTAAACATTTTCAGCAAAGGAGCAGAATACAAAGTCAACACACAAAAAATGAGTAGCTTTTCTACATTCCTATAATGAATTTGCTAAGAAAGAAATCAGAGAAATAATCCCACTCACAATAGTTTCAATTAAAAAAACAAAAACAACAAAAACAACTAGGACTAGCCTGCCACGGTGGCACACATCTTTAATCCCAGAAATCAGGAGGCAGAGGCAAACAGATCTCCGTGAGTTCAAGGCCAGCCTGGCCTACACAATGAGTTCCAGCCCAGCCAGGGCTACAGGGAGACTCTAACTAAAAAACAAACAAAACAAGAACGAAAATAACACCTTGAAATAAACCTAACTCAAGAGGTGAAAGACCTCTACAATGAAAACCTTAAGACAGCAAAGATGAAATGGAGGGCAGAACTGATATCGCAGAAATGGCTGTTAATCAAGCACAATCTACATATTCGGTGAAATTCCTATTACTCACCTTTCCCCCTTATGCACTGCATTGTATTTCCCCTGCATGAAGCCTCCTCCCACTCCATGGCCCCTTATAGTTTCCCGACTTTTATGGATTTTCCAATTGAAACACACATATCTAAATACTCAAAGCTAGCATCTACTTATGAAAGAGAATATGCAATATTTGTCTTTCTGGATCTGGGATACCTCACTCAGGGCGATTGTTTCTCTTTCTACCCGTTTTCATTTTTCTTAACAGCTGAGCAATAATTCTGTTGTATAAATGTGCAATACTTTTATTATCCATTCATCAGTTGATGGACATCTAGGTGGTTTCCATTTTGGGGCTATTGTGAATAGAGCAGCAATAAACGTGGATGAACAGGTATCGCTGTAGTAGGATACAGAGTCCTTTAGGTATATGCCCCAAAATGGTATGACTGGATCACACGGTAGATCTATTTCTAGCTTTTTAGTGGCTGCACCAGTTTGCACTCCCACCTGTGGTGAATAAGCATTCCCCTTTCTCCACATCCTCCGCCAGCATTTAATCCTTGTTTGTTTTTTGGATCTTAGTCATTCTGACTGAGGTAAGATGAAATTTCAAAGTAGTTTTAATTTGCATTTTCCCAATGGCTTAAGGTGTTGATCATTAAAAAATTTTTTCTCAGCCATTTGTGTTTCCTCTTTGAAAACTCTCTGGTTAGTTCCTTGCTCCATTTTTAATTGGGTTGTTTGGTAGGTTTTTGTTTGTTTGTTTTTTGAGACATAGGGAGAACCTATTATGATTATCTTGCTAAATGGACATAAGTATAATGACTTATTGTTATAGCCATAAATTAATGAATCTCTTAACTCTCACCAGACAAGCTTCTTCTTAACAACAGATGATGATTAACACAGAGACCCACAACTGGTCAAAGTGCAGAGAATAAGAGACTGCAGAGTGCTTAGGCCTATATCAAACCCTTGCCTCCCAGGGCTCAGGTATCACTGTGGAAGAGGGTGTGAAAAGACTGTAAGAATCAGTGGTGGTGAATGATGACAAGGAAATAGTGTTTTCCAGACATCAGGGCAGTTACTCATATGAATTCACAGTCATTGTGAAAGCATGCACAAGACCTATGTAAGCTCAAGCCAGACAAATTCCGAACATAAAGGGAGGTGGGTAAGAAGCCCCAGCCCTAGCTGAGGAACTACTGACAACAGAGCTGCTGGGAGAGGGAAGTAAGTTTTGCTTAAGGGTGTGATGCTGGGTAGATTGACCAGGCTCCAGGGGATGGACCCACACAAAGTGATATTTGGGGAAAGAAATTAGAATCAATAGGTCTTTAAAAAATAATGAAATTAGGTGTGCAAAAAAGGGAAAGGGTCTAAATATGCCCAAAATACATTATATGAAATTCTCAAAAATTCAATAAAAATATTTAAATAATAAAGAAGAATGCAGGAAGGAGGCTAATGGGCAGAAAGAAAACCAGTTGAAGTTAGGGAGAGGGCCTAGAGGAAGAATGAATGAGAAGAGAGTACAATGACACACATGTATGAAGATGTCATGATGAAACCCATTACTGTGTATGCTAACCTAAAGTATTTAAGACTGTGAAATTATAAGGATAAACAAACAGATGGATGACCACACCAGAGAGTCTAAAAGTCAGTCAAGGGTACCAAAATAATTCTCTGAATTATAAAAGAATAGTCTCTCTAATAAATGGTCCCAAGGGTACAGCTTTGGTCCTGGAGGACAGGGTACACCTCAAACTGACAGTAGAATCTGGCAGTGTTCTAAGTGTTGTCCATGTGGCACAACACCCTTTGAAGGCAAAGATACAGGCTTGAGGGGTCATGGAGAACAGATAACTGTGGAATTGGAGTCCCAGCAAATAGACTCAGAAGAGGTCACTGCATGAAGTTGTAAAGGGGAAGATTTAGTTGCAATGGACACCCCAGAATATTAGAGATGCCAGGACCATGGGATGTCTGCCGAGGAGAGCAGCAGGTATTGGATAGAGCTGAATTAAGGCTGTGAGAGAGACTGTGTGTACTGCCCAGAGGAGTACAGCAGATACCCTAGAGGCTGGACACAGAACTTTAGAATTCGGCACTCACCCTGCTGGATTTGAGTTTTGTTTTTATTTAACTGTTCCTATGCCCTAACTCTTCCTTTTGGAATAAGAATGTTTACTGTGGGGCTGGAGAGATGGCTCAGTGGTTAAGAGTACTAGGTGTTCTTGCAGAAGACCCAGGTTTGAATCCCAGCACCCACATAGTGGCTAACAACCATCCATAACTCCAGTTCCAGGGAACATGACACCCTCTTCTGTCCTCCGTGGGCATTGCATGACATGGATGTACTTATACACATGTAGGCAATACTCTCATACACATAAAATAAAAATTAATCTAAAAATAAAATTTTAAAAATTGTTTACTCTGTGCTACTCTATGTTGGAAGCAGATAACATTTATTTTACAGGAGCTCATAGTTAAGACTTTGTACTCTTTTAGAGTTTGAATTTTTAGAATCTGGGAACATTTAAAGTTGAACTGTATTTATATTATGAAAAAAATCATTTACTTTTGGAAAAGGGCTGGAAGTTTATTATTTTAAAATGATGTGTTTGTGTGTCAGGTTGACAAGGGGCAGAGCTGTGATGGTTAGTTTTAGTTGCCAACTTGACACAATCTAGAATCATGGGAAGAGAGTATCAGTGAGATCAGACTGGCCTGTGGGCATGTTTGTGGACTATTACCTTGTTTACATGAATTGATGTAGGAAGACCCAGCCCACTGTGGGGGGGCACCATTCCCTGGGTTTGGGTCCTGGACTGTGTCAGAGTGGAGAAGGTATGACTTCCCTGCTCTAACGGACTGTAACCTAGAGTTGTGAGCTAAAATAAGTTGCTTTGTGTCAGGATATTTTATCACACCAAAAAAAGTGAACTAGGACAACATATGTAATAAGAGCTGATGCAGCAAAGACTCTTCATAAACTGATGATAGTATGGCTACTGTAAAAACAGTCTGACAGATTAAATACAGTACCGTAGGATCCACAGTTCCACTTCTACCCACTAACAAAAATAAATGAAAAAATGTCATACCAAAAGAACACAAGTGCTTATAGCAGCATTATCCATAACAGCCAAGAATTAGAAACCTAAAATCCAAAAGACAATGAACAAAATGTGCCCTGCCCATGGATGCAGTATTATTCAATTATAATGACATCCTGATACACGACAGAGCCTCGTCGAATCCTAAAAGTATTGTACTACATGAAAGAGGCCATACTCAAAAGACTACATTCTATGGGATTCCACTAACAGTGCCAAAAGTCACTGAATTACACACTATGAGAGTGAATCACACATGTAAATTACCTCAGCAAACCTGCTACCTTTTTAAAAAGCAAAGATCTCCCAGAAGTCCCTGAGCAGCAGTTTCCTGGGCTGTGTGTGGGGCATGGGGAGGCTGACAATACAAGAGGTGTGGTCTGAGATAGCTGGGCTCCATCATGGCCACATACTCAACCTCTCCTGGGCCTCAGTGTCATCACACAGCAGAACAGCTTCTCCCATGGAAGTTGTGACTTTTAAGTCATTCTCAGAAAGCTCTGAACCAGGCCTGGGGGCCAGCACACCTGGTTGTTTCTGGGCATCCTGGGACCAGGCTTGGTTCTGTTGTACCACAGTGAACCAAACCCACAAGGGAGAGCAGGGACACAGCAGATGAGCACACAGTGAACAAAGTGCCGAGGAGAAGGCAGGTATACCTCCCCAACACCCTGGGAAGAACGGCCCCCAATTACCTGCTTACTTTGGTCTTTGGAAAGGCCTGCTTCGTTCCTCTTTCTGGTGACCTCTTCTATCCGCTCTTCACACTGTTCCTTCACCTCTTTCATTTGGTTGGCACACTGGCTCCTTAGGTGAGAGCAAAGGGAAGGATGTGACTGCATCAAGTGCTCCCTGCTGGATTCCCACCCAAGATCAACTGCAACAAGAGACAGAGCCCCCCTTTTCTGCTGTGGACACCATCTGAAAAGGAAGCATGCAAGGGCGAGGTGTCCCTTTCCAAGTGTGGAATGACAAAACAAAAACAAAACCTGCAGTTAACTGAGATTAAAGATTTGTTAAATTGTCTTAAACTTTACTTGTTTTTTAAAAAATATTTATTTTTTATTTTATGTGTATGCATGTATTGCCTGCATGTAAGTCCACCCGTGTTGTGCAATTTCTGCACAGGACAGAAGAGGCTATTGGATACCCTGGAACTGGAGTTACAGACAGTTGTTAGCTGTCATATGGATGCTGGGATTTGAACCCAGGTCTTCTGCAAGAACAGCCAGGGTTCTTAACCGCTGAACCATCTCTCCAGCCCCAAACTTTACTTATTTCTATATTAAAAATTGTAGAATACACATGCACACACACATATTTTTTTTTTTCTTTGACACTAGCTACTGGCACAGCTCTTAAAAATCTTTCTGACTTCCTGGGTGTTGGGAGGGTCTTCTCTTCATCCATGAGCTCTTTGGAGCAGACCTATGATTATGTTGATGAGATGACTTAGGGTTGAAATATTCAGTTCTACTTCCTGAAGGAGGTGAAGGGGACTGGAGGTGGAGTTCAGTCACGTGGCCAAAGTCACCAACTATACCTACATAATAAAACCCTGCTAAGAACTCTGGATGTTAAGGTCTGGTGAGCATCCACGGTGGTGAAAATACTGATGTACCTGAAGATCAGACCCTGACTCCATGGGAACAGAAGCCTCTGCCTGCCCCTACCTTGCCTTATAACTACCATCTGTGGCAGTTTCTATGTCACACCCTTTGTAATGAAAGAAACCCTAATAGGCAGTGCTCTTCAGTTCTGTGAGCTAGGTAGTAAGTTATGAAACCAGAGTACAGCAGGTAGCCCTGAATTTGTAGCCACTCAGGTAGAAGTGTGTAAGGCTGGCAACCCCCCAGGACTTGAGAATCGCCTGTGGGTGGATCAGTCTTGTGGGCTTGAGACCTGGAACCTGTGGGGTATGGACTGACTCTGGGTAGCATCAAAACTGAGTTCAACTGGAGGAAACCCAGCTGTCAAAGAACCACTGGATAGTTAGAGGCTTTAGCTTTCTGCCTGAAATTAAGAGTATTTCAGCAAGGGTCAGAGATGTAACCACTTACTTTGCAAATGAGGAAGTAAAGAAATGGTCTGTCTGCCTGCTGTGGACTGAACTGCTACAGCTAGAGGCCAGACTCAATATCCAGAAGACTGTAGTGCCTGCTCTAGCATGACAGCCTTTCCTGAGCTGCAAGCATTACAGAGCCCAGTGTGATTACCACACGCAACTCATGACTTGGAACAAACCCTTCAGAAGTCCAAAGCAGCATTGGTCACATTTCACAACTCAGAAAGGGACCAGGTAATACAGAACCACCTCAGACAGCTGAGAAATCAAGTGAAAACATCTTTGAAAAACTTCCCATGAACAAACACGAGCCACAGGTGGTAGACTAGATGCAGTGATGTCAGCATTCTAAGGTGCTGAACAAGCCAGCCATCTGCTATTCCTGAACCTTCTCCTGGCTCTGATTCTGCCTTCATAACTGCAAAGGGCCTCCCTCTATCTCTCCAACATGCAAACCAAATTCACTTTGCACATCCCAACTCAGAAGGGATAAGGAAGCAGAAGACTCAGTACAAAGTTCAGATCCTATAGTGGTTCAGAGGACATTTCCAGTTAACACTCCACCCCTTCTGCCAGCTCTTACATTCTTTCTGCCAACCTCTTCCGCAAAAGCCCACGAGCCTTGGAAGGGGTGGTAGGTGTGGGATGATCTTCCTCCCATTGTGGCAAGGCACTGAACTTTCAGGTCTCTGCATCATCTGTTTCCTATGGGCTGTTGACCCATTTCAGTGGGATTCCAACTAATGTGAGTAACGTTGCAGAGCTGTCATCATCCAGGTGGTCACAGTCATCCTGCACCTCAATATCATCTTTGTCATATAGCTCCCAAGCTCCACCAGCACAGCTCATATCACACTGAACTACTGCATCAACTTTGGGCTGCGAGCACTCCTTCAGAGCTCTGGCAGGTTTCTTCTGGATCCCTCCACAGGTGGTTTCTGATTCCTTTTCACTTTGAAAGCCACAGAGGTATCCCCATGTGTGACAGAGCATTGTGGAGACTGCAGCTTATCACCTTGCCAACCTCTTGGTAAAGCCCGCCTTTGTGAAGAATCAGATGGCCCTGCTTGCTGATTTTGTGAAAACAGCCTATCTCATACACATCATCTTCAGCATCCTCTTCCACTTTGCCATCTTCTAAATCCTTGGGACACAAGGTGCCAAACCTAGCATCTCTCTTCAACATATAGATCACTTTTCTTTTTGGAAATATGGCAAAGGCTTCAGGTTCCCTGTCTATTTTAGGCTCCAATTCAGAACTAGAAAGCACACATCCTGTTGAGTGTTGCTTCTTGGTCACCCTGGAATCAAACTGGAGTGCTTTATCAACTTTACTGCCTTGGGCTAGCTGGGTGGGAAAGATTCTGTGGCTCCCCAGGAAGCCTGGCTCACTGAGCTTCTTCTGAGCTAGGGACAACAAACTTGAGTCTTCCTCGGCCATGCGAGATGACAGCTGCCTCAGTGGCAGAAACTGGCTCACATCGGTAGACTTGCACACTTCTGGCCTTACAGTATTCTGGCTTTTAACCAATTGAATCTCAGGTAACACTTTCTGTGGAGGTGGCAGGAAATGGGGAACAGACCCATAGCCATTCCTTTCTTTACCCAAGTTGATCTCCACACCAGCACTTGACTTCATGGTATCTTTGGCTCCTAGAACTTCATTATACTGCTCCCTCAGAAGCCTAGCTCTAGGCTCATCTATGTCAAAGCCACACTTTAAGGGGTTATACAGTGCACCCCTACCTTCATAGTCTAGGCTGGGAATGCAGTGCCCCCATCCACTCTCACTTCCCCTCTTTCTGAGGCACCATTAAACAGACTGTGACTAGGAGGTCTCATTCCTTGGACCTGCACCAACTGAGCCAAAGATGAAGCCCATTCATCTTTCCTGGGAATGTTTTTGAGTTTAATAGCAGGAGCGAGGGCAGGGCAGTGGTACCACCGTATGAGGTCCAGTTGGCAGCTTGGGAGGGGAGGTCTTGCTCTGCATGTGTGTTTTCACCCCAGTCAAGAGTTTGAGTTGCTTTCACTTCCTTTCTATTTATAAAGCCATCACTAGGATGGAATTGTGCAGGTGGATGGGATTTCAGAATTGGAGGACAGTGGCTTGGTATGATAGGCAAGGGAGATGGCCGCATTACAAATGGGTAGACATATTTTGTACCCAAGAACATGGAAAAGATAGACTTCCATTGCTAAAAACCACTTCTAAAAAGCCAGGATTCTGGAACGGGGGCCTGACGCTGCTGGGAAATATTGGTTCATCTGGGAAGATGAAATTATTGTCCAGTCAGGATACTTGCTCAGGAATGAGGAGACCAGGAGCGCCACTATAGTCACACCTCCTTCCCACACTCATCAAGGAGTTGAGGGGGGAGTCAGTTACCTCTCCCACACAATCTGTTGACCTTTGCTGCATGTGAGGGGTGGGGCAAAGGATATATAAGTGGAGAACACCATTTTGTGTGGCTGTTGGGAAGTTACAGGATCTGTATTTGAGTGTGGACTTTACAATGCAGCTGTAAACGTGGGGCACCCACTCTTCTGTAAATAAACCCCTACTCTATGCTCTGTTAAAAAATACTAATAAAATATTGTTAAAAATAAGTATGAAAAAAAAAACCAATAAAACAAAGTTCAGATCCTGAGTCTTATGGGCTTGAGACCTGGAACAGGTAGATGTAACAGCACTCCTTCCTGAAAGCCTCGGGCTGGTGCCTTCCTACATGTGTGCAGAGTAAATGCTCAGTGTTATCTGGGGCTCAACTGCAGAGGCATACAAACACTTGGCCACTAATGATATTCTAACTACTGCAATTTTTGGCTAGAGTACTAATAAGTATTCTTATGCTCAATACAGGAAATTATCACTGTGGGCTACTTATCATCCAGGATGTGGATTGTCACAGAATCACTGTCCTATTCCAGCATCAGCATTTCCTCACAGCACAATGAAACTCCTGTGCTAGACAAGGAATGCAAACTTATGTTTCATGGGTGCAGTGGGTACTGACTGACATCTGGCAGTGTGAAGGACTAAGTGGGATGCTTGCTGACTGATTCTCAGGACAGACACTAACTTGTGTACAAGGAAGCTTTGGGGTTGCCTCACTGGCTTCCGCAAAGAAACCAGAACACACAAGATGAGAGGAGGTGTGCAGACATGCCTCAGGTGCCTATGAATTCCTACCAACTCAGTGCATAATTTTATGCACATATACACTTACAAATTTGCTAACAAGGTGTCTATACCTTTTCTCAGATTCTCAAACACAGGTCTAAAATAAGGGCAACTAGCTCTTTCTAGTTTCCAACTACCTATGATCATTACCCTAGACAGCTTCCTGCATCCAGCACATCCTTGAGCACAACTATTGAGACAGATGTAGGTAAGCCAGAAAGACCTGTCCATCAAGACGGTTCACCTCTTAGGGGACATAAGAACATTCACATGTACCCCAAAACTAGGGCAAAACCTAACATCCTCTGCTTAGGTTGGAGCAGAGGCTGCCCACCTTTGATGCCTCGTTGACTCCAGACTAAAATAATCTTGGTTCAACATTTACCAAGTCACAAGTCAGGCCATTAATGTTTTTTGTTTTTTGGGGTTTTGTTTAAATTTCAATCAAATGGAGGAGAATTGTTAGTATTAAAGTGCTTTTTAAGAATGAATAATTGCAAGACTAGGGTATTCCATTTGCAACATTTTGATTAGGCTAACTCAGTTTCTCAGCCTTGGTACTGTGACTGTTTGGGGCCAAGTGAAACTTCACTACAGAGAGATGTCTTCGGCACTGTAGGATGTTGGGCAGTGTCTCAGTCTCTGCTCACTAGATGTTAGTAGCGCTTACCCTCAAGTCAGACAAAAATGTCTCTAGACACTGCCAAAAATCTCCTGAGGAGAAAACTGCCCCAACTTGAGACACACCCACACAGGTTAAGTGAGGTTCTGCACACAATGGTGTTTCCTTGTGTTTGCTGTCTGCTCACATTCTCTCCAGCTGTGTACAGTCCTAACAGCCCAACAATCATGCAGTGCATAATGTCATTTTGGCCAAAGACAGACTGCACATAGGACAAATCATCCCACAGGACCACCTGGCCTTGTGAGATGGCAGCCATCTTAGTTTGTGGAAGCCCACACTATACTGTTCTTACAGAGCCACAGCCCATCCACACATTTCTCAAGACTTACCCTGTGATGGAGCAACGTGTTACTGTGCTTGAGATTTCAGGGGTTTTTGCAGCATTTGGCTTTGACAAAATCAGGAATAAACTAGGTGGTAGGTGGTATTTCAAAGACACGGCTGCTTTGTAAGGGCCCTGTGTGTGAGGCAAATACTCTCAGCTGCCGGACAGCTGGATAAACTCTTAGAAAACAATTTCGAAACATGGGGGTGTAGCAATCCCAGCACTTGGGTGGGAGGAAGATCATGACTTTTGCCAGTCTGAGCTATGCACAACTTGAGGCTAGCCTGGGCTGCAAAGGGAGAGGAAGAAAATGAGGAAAAAAAAGCAAGCAATTTGGTAATTTATACCTAGGGACAAGCTAAGCCTATAGCTGATTGTCTCGTAGAAAGTCATAATCCCAAATGTTTGAATGATGAAATGTCTGGAGCTATATGAATTACTTATGTACAATGCAAGTAAGTGAAAAAATGTCAACAAATTTGGTGAGTGCAATCACATAAATGACTTGGGCATTGACTGAGGACTCACTGCAGGGAAAAAGGTTTCCTCGGAGAACCAGGCCGGGGTGGTGGCTTCAAATTCACTGTTTTCCTTGATTCATTGATTTCATGGGGAAGGGGGATGGAAACATAGATTACAACCTTATTCTCTACTTCTAAATTGTGTTTTACTATCTTCCCAGTGGGTTTAACCTACATCTTAAAAGTTAAAAATTGTTTGGATTATGAAAGTATTCTACTTGCCCTACAGAAATGTGGAAAAACATGGAAAGGCCTCAAGAAAATGCACTACTCACCATACCAACACCCAGCAACAGTCTTAATCAGTATTTTGTCAAAATGTCTTATATTTTAGGAAGTTGTATTAGCTCACACCTGACATTTTTAAAGGGTTCAGACTGCTAGTTTGGGAAGTGTCTATGGTATGATGAACAATTCCTTTCCTGCAGAGCACTGCTATGTGTGTGCATACATATACCTTCCTTATTTACTCTATACAGTGAGCACTGCTGTGCGTGTACATACGTGTACCTTTCTTATTTCTTCTGTACAGTGAGCGAGCACTGCTGGCTGATACTTACCCCATGGCCTCTGAAGCATTGCTAATACTTACCAAATAAAATGCCGATTTCCAAAGGGCAGGAACCCCAGAAGGGACTCCGCTTTTTCTCACAGTGCCCTACATATGAGAAGGCATCCATTCTGTGACATGCAAAGCGAGCAAGCTGGACTGTCCTTGGCCTTTGATGTGTAGTAACCAGGACTAACTCCCCAAGAGGCAGGCACTTGATCTAGAGCCACACTTACAGGTCATAGGAGAACTTCCTCTCCAGGCTGGTCTGGTTCCTCTGGAACTGGAGGATGTCCTGCTGTAGGCTGCCATAACTCTTCTGAAGTGTCTTTAACTGGTCTGCGACAGGAGGATGACAAGTCATTTCACTGGTCTTTGTGACTACCATACCACTCAGTCACATATGACACAGGTGGACTCACAAGTCAGAGCACAAAGGA